TGAGATTCAGAGATATTCAACCACTTCCTATATGATGACCTCCACGTGTCCTTGAACTCAGAAATTTTGGTTAAATAATTAGAAACATTAGTACGGAAAATTATTTTATTTTAACTAAATTACATGTTCAAAACAATACTAAAGTTATCGAATTTTTCAATTTATTTTCGGTTGTTGCATCAAAGTTGTTATTTACTGCGGATTGGGGTACTGTAAATTCACTTCAGATAAAAACTTCAAATATCTCAAAAATGGAACAACATTTGAACAAAAAATATTCTACATTTGGGACTAGTTTTGTGTCACTCGTTTTGAAACACCCTGTATAAGATAGGATTGCATCCAAAAGTACAAAAAATTAATGAAAATCAAATGGTTAGAAAAATCAAATACTTCATGGAATGATAAGTGTCCAAAATTTGATGGAAATTATTTTACGACTATCACTTTGGTATGTTGATATGCGGCATTTGGCAGTAGATTCGCAGATATAATCTACATCTAATTCTGGTATCTGATTTATAAAAAGGTAATAAATCAAATCATTTCAAATTTTTAATCTGCAGCATGTGTCATCGTTTAAATATAGCTGAACAGCTATAAGAACTGACAGCTAGTTAACGATGTAATAATGACGTATAAGCTCGTTTAACGTAATAACGATGTATAAGCTAATTAAAATTTACATAATATGTTAAAAGAGGTAGCTATTGTTGATTGATACATTCAGATCCGGATTGAGGAGCATAGATCCGGCAATTAGAGTTCTCCACAGATTTAGGTGTTGACATGTCATTATGTTGCGGCCTGATTACGTCAGTCAGGCGTTTCTAAAGCAGATAATCGCCATTTGTCAAGATAAGTAGTTACGGTCTGTCATATTACTTGAATATAGCCGCAAGCACCCTGGACCCCTTTCCTTATTACCTCACGACTGTATTATTATCGAAGATATTGTCACAAGGAATAATATTGTAACATGAAATCAGTGATAATTTAACAGTGAGTTACATATATTTGTACTAAATTGAGTTACGTACAGTGGAATAAGATAATGTTTTGTTCAGTCGGAAATTTATTTTATGCAGAAGAATTCATTTATCACATTTTATGCATTTCAAAGTATGTATTCATTGATTATTAATCAGAACATGATAGTTAAAATGGTCGTTACATTAATTTTTATTGCTAACAACTAACGCATAAGAAGATTAGAAACTTTAAATTTAACAAAATCTGTTTTGTCTCCATATCTACGTATTTTTTTAAAGGAAGAAACAGTATTTATTTTCCTTTCAATACTTGATTATTTGATTACTTGATTACAATAATAATTATTTGTCAATAATCCTTATTAAATATCTATGTCACCTTAACTAAACAGAAAATTCTAGGAATATTTTTAATTAACACCATGATTACAAATAGAAAAATAAAAAATTGTGCATTACGAATTAGAATATCCAATATTTTTAATGAATAGACAGGTGTTTACTATTTTAATAGACTCGTTTCTCTGATTTTTTGTATGTTTTAACGATCAATATTCTAAATATTGTGTACTAACATTATTGTATCCAATAATTTGAAGTAGTTATTGTGTTATTTTTAATTGCAATGGAAATATGAATAATGTATTTAGTTTAGGAATAATAATTTCTTTGGAATAAAAAATTGATGTTTAGTTTCGGAATCATCTTCGTTTTTATTGTAAATACAGGTTTCATACGGAAAAATACTTCAAAATAAACACTCATGAATACTCATTATAGAAGATCGAATGCTAGCGAAATGATAAAGATGAAAAAGTAACTTGACAAATTAATCGAACGTGGAACGGTCCAATATTTTTCCGGATCTATTTGCAACGAAATTGGAATGCTGGAAATATGCTCTACTTCCCCATGTTCGTTGGTATTTTCCAACTTTCGAATGTTCGGGTTTAATTTTAAATTACACAGAAGCTGCTTCAGAGAAAAATAATTCCGATCGGTGCACACGTGCAATCCCGATTCATACGATTCGAATATGTTCCTGACAATGACGCGAAATGTTTCGGTTTCACCGCGTGTGTGTTTTATAAATGGACTGAATAAGTAAATCTCATCGAAATATGCGCAATCATTTGGAATAATTTGGGTGCACGGTCTACTTTAAAATGAAACCGAGTTGTGTGCTCAGTTAATCAATAAGTAAGCTGCTTGCACGCATGCAATCATCCACAATGCTAAATTTCATTTTTTGAATTTCATTACTTTTATTGGATTTCTATCGTCGATATGGAAAAGGAAAAACGTTAAGCGCATACTCCAGCGTGACAGGTGTTTTTTTACCCTTTTTTACGAATTTCTTTACAAGTTATTATCTAGCATAAACTTTATTCCATAACGTTTACTTTTTGGAGAATGATAGTAAATTTTCGTGTGGATTAATATTTGTGTAAAAATGACTATCATGGAGCACGTTAAAGTTGGATATGAAAAAAATAGATTATTGGTTGCCGCGATGTCAACTATGTATTTTATTTGTCCGAAATTAAAAAACTCCAAGTAATTATCGAACGGTATGACTGTGACTATTGTAGGTACCAAAAAGATAGATACCTATTGAAAATTGTAAAAATGGCTGCACTTTGAAATTTTCGTTTTTCTATACTTTTTTTTGTCTTCAAATAATTATGGAAATCACAAAAACCTATATTTTGGTATGATTGAGAAACCAGTGGTAGTAAATGATGCATGTGAAATTTAAGTTCATTCAGTTGGATGGTTTTTATGATGTTTTTACTATCAATATAAAAAATGTGGTTTCTAGTCAATGGTTCTATCTACTTGGTAAAATAATTCACACATATCATTTGTATACTTTTTTAATATACTAAACTGTTGCAGTTAGGAAGATAATTTAATTATGTATCGATTGTTTGTTTATCAATAAAAAATAACCGGTAAATATGAAGAGAATTCTGCATTGAAGTGTAAAGAAGATGATAATGCTAAATAATTACTTACATTATGAAATTGACTGGGTAACATGAATACTTCGTACAATAAATAAATAATTATCCGTATGACTTATTTTTAGATATTAGAAATATCTCGTCAGCAGTGAATATACTTTATTTTTTATTCGTATCCCTTACCAATTATACGATTCAAACTTTTCCCAACATTGATTCTAAATATTTTCTATTTATTACGTTCAATTTGCATGGCCTATTTTATGTGATTATATAATTGGCGACTTTAATTGAAACAGATTATTGTGTTCTGAATACTTGTTTCCTGTGATCATAAAAGCCAGAAATATTTTCGTGATCCCATTTACGTGACCCAAAACGAAAAAATCTTTCGAAGCGATCAGATATGAATGCTGAAACGTGGATCTGTTTTTTTTCAAATGACAATCAGTTTTTATTGCTGTTTTGAGAGTAGTCATTCACGTATCATCCGAGAACGGTAGAAAGAGGAACACTATAAATGTGAATGATATCGAGTACAACTTGGATAGCAGTTGAATATCTCTGAAACGTTGCCATTCTAATACGAAAATTTATATCTTTGTTTCCTGTTACCACTAATCCTACCCAGCATTCAAACTGACTTTTTGAAATTCCTCCATAAAAACTTCAAGAGTGTATCTATCGAGACTTTAATTGATTTATAATTCAGTTTGCGTATTGCTGAATCAATATCTTTAATGATTTCTCAGAGAAACACCTGTTCTCTTTTTAATAATTACAAAATGAAGAAATCAGGAGCGGGTCATATCACTCCGTCTGGTAGTTTTAGTGTTAACACATTGATTTGCGTATTTTCGCTACATACAGGACAGACTTTTTATTGTTAGTTCAATTATTGTATATTTATTGTCAATATAATTGGTACCATCAAAAATAAATAAAATATTTAAACCATTCAAGTTGTGCAATCGTCATATTTATTAAATCTACTTTATGAAAGGGTAAATTGCTTTCTGCTTGTCTACTAAAGAATTTCTGGGTGAAATGCAGGTTAAGGTATACAAAGTGTTTCGAGCTACTTGCCGAAACTACAACAGATTTTAACTTTATTTTTTAAGTGAAACAAGACAGGAAGGCTGATTGTTTGATGTGCAACAATTTTTTATTACATTATTGTAGGTTGAAGGTATACCCCCATTTTTTCATGGAATAGCAGTTGGATTTTTATTTAGATTATTCGTAGTGGCATTTATTTTGAGCACGTAGTTTCTTCCATGTAATTAACAAATTACGATAAATAATATTTTGTTGAGGAAGAGCTATGGGAAAGTATTAAAAAATACGTCATATTAACATTGCAATTTTTCGTGCCTCATTTCTCTTTGAAGGGGCGAAACCACTTCTTGAAAGAAAAATTGCAAAAAAATTGCAAATTAAATTTTTTCAAGTAATTCAAATTTTTTCAAATTTTGAATCTGAACGTTGAATTTTGAAAATATTATTTTGCAATTTTATAGACGTGGAAAAACAATGTATTTTTTGCTTAAACTTTCTTTCACTATTTCTTACCATTTTCAAGATAATCCATGGGAAAGTAAAATTTTCATTTCTTTCAAGTTGTAGTTTCACCCGTTCAAACTGAAATTCGGTACGAAAAGAAAATTGCAACGTATTAGGCTTGACTTACTCTACTTACGGACAAGGTTTTATAATTTTGAATTTCCTGGTTCGATATCATTCCGTGTTAGCAAGAATTAAAACATTAGAAATAATTATTCCCTAAATACACTCCAGTTTATTCTTTCCAAATTATAATTTCATACATCGAATCTACAACACAATCTATTTCTCTACAATTTAATACCGCAGTATAGGATTGATCGTATAAACGCGATTCTAAGCATCATCCTTCACCTTCAGTCAGTCCCCAAAGTATTCACAATCTCTCCCGAAAAGTTATTCGAAAAAATAAGACAGGAGGAGACAAGTAAGAGAAATGCATTCCCATTTGACCATTTATCACTCCTTTCTGTTTCAGGATTGTTCGAGACGGACGGTGTGCTGATTCCTGGCACGATGTGCGACCTCGAGTTTGTCAGTTCACAGTCAACACCGCAGTACGGACGATTCTACTCGCCACGGTACCCGTCCTCTTACCCAAAGAACATCCGGTGCTCATACCTCTTCCGGGCAAGGTAACTAGGCTGACCTACTATTAAGCTCGCAAACTGATCCCGACATAATCCATATATAATGCATCCCGAGACCAATCTCGAGTCGTGCCATATATCTAACGTTCTCGCACATTTAACGGCTCCAATCCGTAATCCGGTTGCCAGTTAATTAACATCCGAGCCGCGGCATCTTCGTCTTTGTGTCTTCGCTGAAGACCTCAATCGTTGCGGATCCTCAAACTCTTGTTGACTGACCGTTAGAATATTTAGTATCATTAGCGAATTATGGCTTGTTCACCAATTACCCTTCGATTCACGGAACCTCGTACGTTTGAAGCTGTGACTGATACTATAATTAATCCTTATAATCAGGGATTATGACTTTTATAATTAAAATGAAAAACTGATGTAGGGAAATAATTATTTTTTCGAATAGAATGTTTTTGATTCTGAATAATAATTATTTTAAATTATATATTTTTAAAAAATAATAATAATAATTTAATTACTGAAATTTTGATTGTTTGTAAGAGTTATCTGCAAGACAAAATTGTTTCGGTTACTCGTAAGTGCGTCATATTTACGTACATAAGTACAAGTAAAACTTCCGTTAACTTTCGTATTTACCTGTAGTTGAGGATTTCCTTCAGAGAAACAAAAAACGTTTTTTGATGTAAATAGAAGAGGTAAATAGGAGAATTTTATTGTTTTGGTCGAATATTTAATAATACTTTACACCACGGGTAACTAAAGTAAACTTTCTCGTATTGATACTTGTTACAAACAACCAAAATAAATTTCCTTCGCCGATGAAAGCGATAAAACTGAAATAAATTTCTTTCATCCATATGAAAAATGTTTACTTATTTATAATTATTATTTGTAACGAAATCTTTTAACATTTTCATAACATAGTTTTTTGAAAAATTTTCTCTACATTCTGTGATTAATACTCTCATCTTCAATACTAAAGGATTTTGTTCATAAAAGTTTTTGCACTAATTATTATTTTCAGTTCCTAATTATGGCTATTAATATAGAAAATTTTTAATTGACATAATTATAAAAACTAAAATAATTATGTAATTAGACTGTGAGTGTTTATATATTTATAGTTTCTAAACATATTCAAAAAGCTGTAAAATGCGAAGTTTATTAAATTTTAATTAAGTTTTACATTACTTTTGTTGTAGAATTACTATTACAGGAGATAAATTTCTACTTTACTACGCTTTTCTTAAAATTAGTCTGCAGAAATGGGAATTTGCATAAACAGTCTGGCTATGAGAGCTACGGGTGAGAAAGGTTTGGCTTATATCGGTTCCAGTTACGGTTCAAGAGAACTGTTATACTGGTTATATCGGTTTTGCATTGGTTCTATAATGATTATGTATCCGTTCTACCGTTCTATCTTCCGGCTTGATTATTTCTCTCCGCAACAAACTATAAGAGAGGTATTATTCACATTTACATGTCAGTTTGGTTTACTGCTGATAGGGAAAACGAGCAATAAAGGAAATTATTAACCTGTAAATATACGAAAAGTGACCCCTGAGATTACCGGTGTGAAACGCGAAGTCTATTTATGTACATTGCTGAAAAATTGGTCGATAGTTTCGATTTAAAGGAAAATTATAATTTAACATTACACACAACAATTACTTTCCAAAGCGTAGCTAATTTTATCTGTAAATCATTTGAAAATGAATTTAAAATTATGTTCGAAAATAAATTAGCATATAACGGGTATATTGTTAGTTGGACATTAATATTCAACCTATAACGTATTTTTAGGTGCTGTACGGAACTGATACATCATCTTAATTCAAAATACAATTTACTTTTGTAAAACTATAATTCAAACATTTAAGCCTGAACTTTCTTCTGTCATAACTGTTACGTAAAATTATTATGGATTTCTATGCATTTATGATATATACAAATTAAAAAATCTAAGGAAACGACCAGCTTTAACAATGTAATGCTTTTATTTTAGTTTAACGAATATTAATTATTAAAATAATTAACGAACATGGAAATTTTCTGACACTCACTCAGAATGAAAAGTCAATCGAACGTTACCTTCATTAAAAAAAATGATTAATATGGTAATATAAAACCTCTGTTGTAACCTTTAAAAAAACTAAACTAGTACAAAATAAGTTAATGCAATTCATACGTTTGGTTACAATATTAGAAACTGATGCACATTATTCTGAAATAAGTATATAATTCTAGATAAGATTGAGTCAACGTTTTGCAACATAAATTTTCAGAAATATTTAAAGGCACAGTTTTACAAATATAATTTTTCGACTAGTTCTAATATAAACTATATCTAAAATATTTTACTAAATAGAATTTTTTAGTTCATCTTTACACCTTAAAGAAGCTATCTTCGTTACTAAAATCATGTCCACTATCACATACGAATAATTAGATCTAAAAAAATTCTATATTAGACTAACTTAAGCACGATATAAAGAAAAGAATTAAATACAATTTCTATTTGAGTTTTCTAATTTAAATTAAGTCTGGCTGCGTACTAAACTTCTTCTAAATAGCCGTTTCTCGTTGATATAATTTTGTCACGGTGGGCGACAGTTCTCTGTTGTCACTAGAAATTTCTCAGCTTCCTGACTGATGTAACTTTCCTTGTTTCTCATCTCCGTTCCTTGTTACGCTGATTGTCGAAAGTTTATGCCCGGTTCTACCAAGCGTTTTCGGTATAACCGCATAAAAGGCCGGATAGAATGAAAAAGTGAGGTTATGTTGGCACGGGGATGCAGGAAGTGCTGGCATTCTTAAGACCGGATCTTTGAAATAACTGTGCGACTACTTGGTAAAACACGCTGATAGATGATGCTCTCCCGGCATGTGGTTCGTAAAAGTTGCAAAGAGCACACCTTAGAATTCTGTTCGAAAAACGACATTTAAGGAGGAAGAAATTCAAAGTATGAAGTACCTTAAAGTTTCCTAAAGTTTTTATAGTGTGAACAGAAGGTCAAAGGGTATTGTTCACTAAAATGTTCAAAAGCACTCTAACCAAATTAACACTAACGGTATCAGCACTTTGGGTATATTTATTCCTGTCGTAACCAGTCAAATAATTGATTATAAAATGTAGGTAAATAAGTTAAACGATACATTTTTCTTAGAGGAAACAGAAACAAAAGCATAAGACAAAAATTGAAAAAGTGATGAATCAGATAATATAGGGATTGATATAAAGTTAAGTAAACCAAAGGAAACGCAGAACTTTTAATAAAATTATAAAATCGATTATGTTAAATCAAGAATGTATTGTTCGATAATCTGATATTAAAAAGCACGTCGGAGCAAGTTTTAACACTTTGTCTTATTCGAAAGAGTAGTTATAGAAAAAATTAAAGTTACGAATTGTTTTTATTCTGCGTTTTAAATTTAATCGTGTGCGAAGTCTGAATGAATGAGTCATATTGTGACGCCTAAGAAATCATTTCTAATTTGTGGTGTAAAGAATTATAAACAGAAAAAATCTACAAAATGTTCCTATTGAATTTTAGCTGTGAAATAATTTATATTTCAATTAAACAATTTAAATTTTAATAATTTAAATTAAACAATTTACTTTGCCACTTAGTTACTGTGCTCGATTATACTATTCGTTGAAACGTCAATATTTTTATCTTTCATTTTACAAAGGTAACTTCACAAATAAAATAAGAAACTTGTTAACAGTTCCCATTCCATAAATAATGCAGTTTCTGCATATTTCTTTAATTTTAAAAAGTTAAAGTAAGTGAAACATTTTTTACACCATTTATGATATATAAGTAAATAATCTATGGGTAATGAAAAAGAATATATTTCAGATGAAAAAAGGTTTGGCTTACCTTAATTTTAAAAAATAACAAAAATATACAAAAACTGCATTATTTATGGGATAACCTAATAATATGAGAAAAAAAGATAAAAAGGGTGCAAAAGTTCAATAGTTGTACAGATAACAATCTTTTCGTGAAATCAAAATCCGAGATTCAAAGTACAAAAGTGAACGTTGTAACATGAAACGATTCTTCGTAATTGCAAAAAAAGTAACAGTGATTCTCGTAATTTAAGAAAATCGTTCGTATTAAGTTAATTTAATCGTGGCACGGAGCCTATATGGAATATGATTTCTGTAGTATTGTGGCTTTCGCTTAATTGCGGTAATTGTGTCAAAGGTGCGTTTGCACGTCAATATGCTCAGCAGTTACAATGGTGGTATAACGTTCAGCGCATAACTATAAACTCTGACGACTACGCGCATTCACGCATGTGTTCGGTGCGTATTTGTGACTGTTAGAGAATAAACATCATATGTTGCTCTTGATGTTAATTAACCCTCGAACGGCACAGGGTCCTTCCTGACCTATACTATGCCACACTAAACTTTTCATGATCTATATTTTTGAATTAATGTCTATGTGCAAATTACATGTTATTGTAGTGGGGATAGATTGTTAAATATCTACATTAAAATAGGATAGAAAGAAAATGAAAATATATTTACAAAAAATAAACAATTGTTAGTATTGTTAGAAAAGTGTACAAATACGGGGTGTCCAGTAACTAATGGTACAAACGAGCAGGGTAGGGTTCTATGTGAAAAACTGAATTGAAAATGTAGAATAAAATTTGTCCATATGAAGCTTTGTATTCGGGAAAAATAAGTTTGAAAATTTATTGAGTACGCGTGCATTTAACTTCGTTCCTAGGAAAGTTATATATTATAATTATAACTGTCAATGTAGTGCAACGAGAAAAAATAAAATTGACACACTTGAAAGAGGTGTAAAGAATAATGGTTCCATAAAGAAATTTCAATTTAAAGTATGTTACATATGATCAACAGTGTAATTGTTACATAATTCAGGAAGTTGTACTTTTATTACTATATTTTTGTATTTGCAGTAGAATCAGAAATAATTTCACTATTTTTTAATCTTTTTATTTCATGTTTTCCGAATTCAATGTTAGTTTTAAAAAAATTCATTATTCATTTTTAACATTTGATTTTATTTTAATTTTGTGTAATAATAGAAATGGGAGATATATCAAATTCATATGAGGTATATTATTAATGAAATAATGGATACCTCGTTTGTACGTACAGTATTAATAATCGATATTGATATTTGAAATATCGATGATATTAAGTTACGTCATATTAATGCTTCGAACTTTTAATTAGATTGAAATAATTAGTCTGTAGAGTCTATTGAGGTGAATACGTTAAATACAAATATAGAATAATATTGTCTGCATTTTGGTAGTGGAATCTGTACACATTTTAACTGTTCCAGTTGTTACTAATTTACTTAGAAACAACAGGAACTTTTGATGATATAAGTAATAGTAAATTTTTGTAAAATAAGTAGTTATTAAAATGAAATTGAATGTCAAGTTTGTTTCAGTGTAGGACTGCATAAAGTTAAATTACACAAATTGCGATAGCAAATTCATATCTAATTGTTAGTATAGAACAGATCCTTCTTTTCTGTTTCTTTTCCGTTTCTTTTCTGTTTCCTATTACAATGATTAACTAAAACTATCTACAAAATGTTCCTGTAAAAACTAACGCGTTTTAAATCTTTTTTTGCAGATTAAAGGAGAGAATTCGATTAGTTTTTGAAGAAATCTTTCTACAAAAAGGAGACTTAAGGTAAGTTTTTACAACAGTAATTATATTCACAGTTTCTTCATAAATTTTTCAGCTGTCTGACATTTTTATTATGTAAATTATTCTATTTAAATTCTTTGCATACTCGTTACTAAACTTAAAATAAAACGAATTTAACACGCGAATATAAGATAATAATGTAGTGTAGAATTTTGTCGATACGAATATACAGCCTTTCAATTACTTCAATTCATAATTATGCTAAGTGACTATTTTACAATAATCTAATTTTCGCAAAAATTAGCAAAGGGTGAAGAAAAGACAGTGACAAAGTTACCATGATAGAATACTTACGTATATACATATAGAATCAGTGTTTGTTTTAGCATTATAAATGTTAACTGTCTTCTCATAAAAGTGGTGCAAAGCCCAGTTTAAAAAAGAATTTAACTATGTTTTCCTTTTATCAAAATCTTGAATCCTTAATATTTACACTTAAGTTAAAATATTTAATAATCGTAACGATGAGTGTATAGAAGTCGGGCTAGTGTAAGAAATCGTAAAAATCTAAAAACATGAAACTATAACTATTTCAAATAAAAAACAGTAGTATTCACTATGTAATATATTAGTCCATACCTGTAAGTTTATTAAGGTAAAGTTCTTCGTTTAACAAGATCACTGCCTGTTCTTAAAAAACAACAGCATTATTTTTTATTTAAAAGTGTATAACGTGTCTCATAATCTAGTATACACGAAAAAAAAAAGTTCATATAAATCTACGTCCGATATAATATGTGACCGATATTTTAACCCTTCCAAAATTGTCAAATATATTTTGAGTTATTTCACAACTTCAACACTGCAATTGATACAAATCAAAATTGCTTATAATTTAGAGATGCAGAAATAACACTGTTCGTATGTTTATGTAAATTTCTTTTTTATACTTCAATGCTCATTTCATCATTGAAGTTATGACTACGTTGTACAGAACATTTCGTATCGCGAGAGCTTTCGTTATTCTAAAGAAAATTTGCTACGCTGAGATATGGGAATCTCACGGTATGTTGAGTTAAGGAGTTCGCTTGTATGGAAATCCGTCCCCATATCCCGTACAGAAATTGAGTTCAGCAAGTTTTAAAATAGATGGAGAGGCGAAGTAAAAGAGAAAGATTTAATATGAAGGATCAAAGACATGAACTCACGAAGTATGTCCCAAGTTATTTTTACGCGCTAAAGAAAGCGCCGTGAAACGAACGTATAGCCGAGTACCACTGATTTATAACTTACAAAACTATGTCGCTCCAAAAGGCACACCTTACAAATTGCAGTTTAATCCGCGGAATAACATGCCAGAGTAAGGTTTATGAAATTTCTTTTGAGTTTAATACCGCACGACCGTGTAGAAATTTCCTGTCGAATGAACGCGAAAGCTGTTGAATTGTATAATAAAAGTAATTACTAAAAGCGTCACGTTTATTCATATTTTCGATATACGATTTTGTTTTTAAATTTTTTGAGGAAAGAATTAATGGAATGATCAAATAAAATATAGAAATGATTGTGAAATATACAGTTTTTTAATTGTATATTTTAAGTTACGTTAAACTTATTGTGTTATTGGCAACTGCTTTAAATTATGCATATGATTATCTATATGCATGATACTATTGTGCATTCCTTAGTTGTAGATGGTTGAATGAATTAAATGTACTATTTTTATTTCCTTGAGAAATTTCAAAATTGTAGAGCATGAGGGAACTGTTCGGATTACTTTAGTAGAATATTCTTTTATAGTTCTTACAATTAACATACAGGATAAAACAGATTATAAGACAATTTTTTAAAAAGAAGTAGCTGTTTTTAAAGGTTAAATGTAATGTGTGTTAAAATTGTTAAAAAACATCACTTTTCAATATTTTCTAATTAAGATCATGTATTTATTTGATGATATCGACAAGGAAAAGAATTCTACGTTATTGTTACAAAGCTATTCTTTCCTCTCGACAAATTTTTTTTTGCTCGCTCATAATCTAACGTAAATGATGTGTATGTTTACTATATTCCAGTGAAGTTCTATGTATTGTTGTAAATACTACAATATTCTTAAAACGTTATAATAATTGCTGGCTATTCAACAACCGTATATAATACAGCAACCAGACAAAACGGCTATCTACAGGAGAGATCTACGTAAATCTTACTATAAGTAGAAACTTCTGTGAACAGCATATATTTACATGTGCAAAAGTTTCTCCTATTCATTCCATAAATTTCATTAATATTATTTTATTTATAAGTTAGACGTTAATAATATTACCTAATATTGTGTACTAACATACTAAAAGATATACAAATGATTAAACAATTCTAGTATTAGTTCTGTAATTCTCCAAATTGAATTATCATGTAAAAGCGAACCATTCTTTTCGTCTTTTTATTATTGTTATAATTATGAAAATACATTATTTATTTGTGGCAGATCCGCATTTTTTCATGTGTCATTTTATTGTACAAATGATATCTCCTCATGATAATAAAGTTGGTTATCGCAAAAACGAAGCTTTTTAAAAGGAAATTTACACGTATTTTAAACTCACCCCATGGGTTACATGCTTTCGCATTATTCTATTTGAAAGCAAGTATCAACGATTCTGCATTTTCAGAAAGTATAACTTGGAAAGAAGTTTTCTATTCTGTTGTTTTCTTTGAAGATATTCCTTACTTCTTTAGAAACTTTTTCATATAATTAAAATAACATAGATATTTAAAAGTATGAAACATCGTAATCTCAAATATCTTTGTAGAATAAGAATTATAAAGAAGTAATTAATTATATTCATAATTTATGTGAATAAAACGTTCCAACATTCTTATTTATTCCATGTTTATTGGTCGAAATATGCGATAGAATATTTTATGCGTTGAATTTTTTACACTATACGTTTTTGCGGTAAATGTATCAAAGAAATTTACGTGTAAACTGTTAATGCAGTTACTAGCCAGCGCGTTTCTTGTAAAATGAACCAAAGTATATAAAAAAACTGTGAAGAAAAAATTTAATTTTTTTTATAATAGCATATTTACCTTTTATTTGCAATGTTTTCAAAGTATTGGGCTTTAATGTTTTGGATAAAAATTAGACATTAGCGATGTATCATTTTTCATTTTTATGAATTAAATTTTTATTATTACAAACTGATTTATTACCGCATACTGAATTGTACAGTCAGTTATTTATGAACAGAAAAAGTAATTATAATTTTTACAGAAATATTCTTTGCACCGATAAATTGTTTTAATAGTAGTTTCATTTCATTTCTTATATTGTGTAAAGCCAGTATGTCGTACATAGTTAAATTTACTTTATACAAGCTTCAAATAATAAAAATATATTGCATTTTATAAAAAAAATGTAATTCGTAAAAATATTGCAAATATGAAAATTTACATTAACTATTTTAGAGTCAGAACACCAGACAGTGTTTAGAATTCCAATTAGACGAATTGACGCTACTGCAACAGTCAGAACCGAGAGTTAGCTACTTGTGTTTTCAATTTCGTGGAAAGATGTTTAAAAGTCAGCTGTTAAGAGATACTTAGCAAAGTTTTGGCCGGAGCTTTTGTTTCTTGAGCAACCGCAGCACGTGTCTTAGTGGTGTAAAAATTGGTGACGACTGTTGAAATTTCTCTTTAAAGTTCGTAGGACCATATGAGTAAGAAGGGTGAAAAAGGGCGAAAGAGTATCCTTTCTATCATCGTTTACTAAAAATGAAAGAATTTGCTAAATCATATCTAATATTTTATTTCTATTGTATCTATATTAGTCATATAAGTATTATAATATGTTTGTCGTAATTAATACTGCTGAATATTATGATTCCTCTTTATTGAAACTCTAATTCTACACACTGTATTATACTGATTGTAAACGACAGTAAAAGCTTCTCGGCTTTTATTTTTTCCTTATATTCACTATTTATACTCTCTTTATAAAAAATAGTACATTTATGAACAAAAAAATTGTTAATAAAATCAAACTAAACATTGACTTAGTGTTTGGATATAAATTATTTGTTCGAAAGTTAATTGTAACGCCGAATGTTTGAAAAACCGAAATATTATATTTCAATTACTTAATGTAATTAGAATGATTCCTTCTTAATCTGTAGGTCTATTCATTCTTATGGATAGTGACATGTGAAATTCGATACTGAGCCAATACGCTTAGCGCGTATAGATAATAACATACATGCTTCACTAAAGAGTTCTAAATATAACAAACAAAGGATACAATAGCATTCTTCTATTTAGCCTAAATCAATAAACAAGTACGTATTTGAATTAAATTGTAATGAAATTACAGAAGGTATTTGCGAAATTCAGTTTAACATATGTAAATTCTATATAATGTAGACCGTATTCTACATGGATTTGATGCATTTATAGTATTTACGTTTATTTTAAATATTTGAATAACAAAATACACACCATATTTGAAATTGAGCAATATTTTCTGTTATATTAAGCTTCATACAATTCTCAGGAAAAAATTTTATTTGAATCGCGTTTTTGTAAAATAACATTTAAGTGCTCAAGATTTAAAATTTGAACATTAAAGAAGCTAGTTGGTATCCTTGTCAACGTTTAATTTTGTCGACGGTTTTAATGTTTACGAGTTATCTATTAAAGAAGTATTTACTCTACTGAACATTATTTGATATTGAGACAAAATTTCCAACAATGATATAGAATCATATTATAGGAATATAAAACGTAATAATAATGAAGTTATCTGTGAAATCTTACTTTCATACCTCATAAACTGTAAGTAGGAAACTACAGAGTAAGACAGTGCGATGGAATAACATGGGCTTCCTTCACCTGGAAGGAATACAGATTACTGCAGTATGCAAGTTCTCGCATCATAGCGAGGGACAAAGATCCGTGACAGTCTGGAAACAATAGTATGAGAACTATTATAAGTATCGCAGATAACAAAGAAATTACAAAATTTTCTAGCAATATCTAATTCTATG